CATCACTTCCAGAAGCTCGCAAACAGTATCACATCTCAGCTGGAGATCAACTTTGGAGACCTCAGCCACCAGGGACAGGGTGGTAGTGAAGGGCGAGGTGGACGTGGGCACACGGGGGGCGGGGGGGCAGAACCGCCAGCAGGACCGACAAGTCAAGTGCTTCTGCCCTGGATGGGGACGACCCGGAGGCCTTCCCAGCTCTGGCCTCACTGGACACCCGGTGATGCCCGGTTCCTCAGCAGACCCCCTTGTTCAAAGCTCTGTGCATGCTTAAGGATCCCAAACTACTAAGAAATTTAAAAAAGGCGGGGGGGGGGAGACTGTCATTCATACCCTTTCACATCTCAAGACTGAATTTTATCTGTTTTGAAAATGAACTTCTTTAGCTACACAGAAGTTAACAAATACGGCAGTCAGTTTTGTATTCAGAAATGTATTGGTAGCAGGGATGTTTTCAATTTTTCACAGATTATGCATTCTTCACCTTTGTATTGCTGCTCACATATATGCATTTGCAAACTTGAAATATAGGTGTGAACAGTGTGTCCCAGTTTAAAGCTTTCACTTCACTTGTGTTTCTTTAATTGAGGATCTAGGTGTTCCCCCAATTACAAATTGGACGTTCTATTGGTTTTAAAAACTGCTTTGCGTTTTCACTCATGGTCAACTGGGACATGTAAACTTTGATTTGTCAGGTTCTATGCTGTGTGGAATACTAACTACTTTACATATTTTAACTTAGTTTTAATACTTCCATTTTGGGGGAAAGATCTTTTTTCACTTCTCTTGATAGCTGTTCTGTATACTAATCTATATAAAGATACTGATACAGAAATATCAGTACTTGAACAACCTCAAAAAAAAATGTTACCTCTGCCTTCATTTTAACTAAAACATAGCTGTATTCTGACTTTGATTTGTATTTCCCTGGTGAATACCGATTCTGAGATAATTTCATGGCTTCTTGGCCATTTGTATATCTTCTTTGGAAAAATGTCAGTTCAAGTCCCATACAGATTAAGTTTAATCAATTTTTTTTTCTTCCCAAGTTGTGTTAGTTCTCTGTTTATCCTATACATTAACTCCTTACTAGTTTTTGTGTATTTTCTCTCATTCCATGGGTTGCCTTTTCACTGTCAGTGGTGTTTTTTTCACACACAGAAGTTTTATTTATTAAGTTGTACAATTAACCTTTACTTTTACTGACCATGAGTTTTGGGTCCTCTCCAAGATATCACTACTAAGTATAATGTCATAAAGTTTTAACC